TTGTCTTATTATCAAAAAAAGTCAACTCAAAATTAAAATATAAACTTCCCTGCCTAATTATAAATTTATAAAATTACATCAATGCAAGTACGGAAAAATACTTTAAGCTTCCTGCTTAACTGGTTGAAATCCTATAAAAGTTAATACGAAAATAATAATAAGTTTTATGAGCCACCGTTAAACTGAACTTAAAATGTTTAAAAAATAAGCGATTAAATTTATGGCTCAACTAAAATCAACGCCACTGTTCCGCCTTACTAGCTACGGCAAGAGCTTTGAAATATCAGAGACATATATATTTTATGAGACTCTTTTTATGACACAGCCTCATGATGCTCAGTCATATGCGTATATGGGCCTTTAGAATGTCTTAAGTTTTTGTTTACTATTTTGTTACCAATTACATTATTGCTAATTACATGCATCTGCGCATGCATTTACACATACAAATGTCTTTATACAATAACAATTGAAGCATAAAAATATTACATAATATATTAATTAAACGCATTACACACATTACGACGGAATAATACTAAATTAGAAGAAATAAATAATAAATTTTAATGCGTCAAGTTGCTGACATTTAACAAATTATGCATATACGAATACTATATTTTTGTGTAGCCGAACGGCTAGTGGCGCGCACTACTTCTCTGTAGGATCTGGATTCGATCACTAGCCTGGGCAACAACTTAAATTAAATAGAAAACTTTTTTTCCTACAGCGGTCGTCCCTCGACAGCCAATGGCAAACTTCGGAGTGTATTTCTGCCATGAAAAAGCTTCTCATAAAGCCATTTGGAGGCGGTGGAGGCGGCCGGCAAAAGTGTAAGCGCCAAACATTCCATGTGCCGCCGATAACTCTGAAACAACCGCACTCGCGTCATTAAAAGCTATGCACTCAAAGGCGGTAATCGATTTTATTTGCTTACTCAGTGGCAATCATAAAAAATTTTATATTTCTAACATTATAAATGCTAAGTAGCTGACAATAAACAACTGAGTGGTTAAAAATATTGATTTATGTTGCTCATTTACAACATATGTATTTACATACATACATACATACATAACTAGTAGTTACATTTGTAGGTACGTACTCCTATATGACAGTTTATAGAACAACTTTTTGCCAGCATCAGTCATTCTTCAATTATGGGTTTTTGCACATTTACTTACATATGTACATATGTATGTATAAATATAGAGTTGTAGAGGCATATCTATCAGCATTTTCATACATTCTCGTACATATATATAAATATATATTTTTGCGTTTGTACATACATATTTCTATTTGCATTCACTTATTTTTTTTTACAGTCACACACATTTCACTTAAGCGATTTGTTATGTATGAATAACGTTATTCTAGTGTCAATATTGATATTTGTCGCGCTCTGTGAAAGTATGTATTTACACTGCCAGCAAAGCTATTGGTTAATACAAATTGCAAATAGCAATTTTTTTAAATTTATCAATTTTCCTATGTATGTACCAGGGATGAAAAATGGAAATTTCAGATTGTACCTAATATCATAAAATATATGTACCTAAATGAGACAGATTGTACCTAAAAAAAGTTAAATCATTAATTTGTATTTTTTTTTTATAAATTTTGTTTAAAACATGAATACAAAAGATGGATGTACTTTAAACATGATTATGTTTTTTTTTTCAACTGAGCCTATATGTATAGACTATACTCTAATGGGAATCGGAGAAGCGTTGTTTTTGTCTAACTTTGACTACTGAAAAATATTGGTGAAAAAGACAAAAAACACGCTTTGCGAAGTATACTCCTTTATCCAGCAACAACACGAAAAGTCTGCTAATTTATCCAATTCCTTTTAATAGGTGCAACAAGTGTAGAGAAATAATCAAATTGCCGTAAGTAACTTCGAAAACATTTTAAATATATTTTCGGAAATCAAAAAGCGAATATGGGTCAATAATAATAATTGTACCTAAAATCTACTGACTGTACCTAATGTACCTTTAAGTCATCAAACGTCGGAAAAAGGTACAATTGTACCTACTTTTTCATCCCTGGTATGTACACAGTGCACGGACTGCGAAAAAAATTAATTTTGGTAGATTTTACATACGAAAAGTGGTAGAAGTTGGTCGATTTTTTTTAAACGAATAAGGTGGTGTTATCGGAGCAGCTGGATTTTCGCCTCGGTGGTTCTTAATGTCAAAATGAAGTATTTGTGTAATTTTTGTTTCTGTACTCCTGCTATAAGGTTGGTATAATTGTCTTTTTGCTGTAAAAGAACAAAAAATTTATTTCACGCCAATAAAACATTCAATAAAAAACATATACATAACACTGGGCCCGAATCATTGACAAAAAAACCTCTGTGCTTTCTGTAGGTTGGAAATAAAAGGAACTTTCATTTCAAAATTTTATGTTTTTATTTAACTTTCATTAAGATGGCATCTTGAAATACCCCGATTAATGACTAAACATATCATCAAATATCATTCGACAGCCTCACTCGAGAGAAGTTGTTTTGTCAAAAGTCGTTTTAAATTGAAAAACGAGCTCGCTATCTAAGCCGTAATCTCACTGAGATTATCTCGAAAATATTTTCGATTCGAATTTGATTTCATCAAGGATGCCATAATTCAGGCCCTGTATTAATTTAAAAACGAGCTCAAACAGTTGCATATCTCCACTTCAAAGTTTTTTGATTAAAAGTAGATTTAAAATGCTTGAAGACGAATGGCCTGTTTGGCAGTCCTTCACCAAAAGCGTATTGCAACGAAAAATTTTTACATAAACAGCTGATAGAGATGCAATTTCACATTTAAATTGGTTATGGTCAGAGTTACCTTCTTATTTTTATTTTAAGTGTGTTCAATGACAAAATATGCATAAACTGCGTTCATTTAAATCTTTATTTTTCCGGAAAATATCGGTCGATTTTTAGCCTTTGTTGGTAAAAATGGTAGAAAATAATATACAGCTAAAAAGTTGGTAGATCTACTAATAAAGTGTCTTACCGAAGTCGTTATACATATATCGATAACTATCACGATAAATGTAACTTCTTCTTCTTATTTATTGCTGCTGTAACCGCCTAAGCCATTTTGGTCGAGTCCAAAAAAGCACGACAGTCATTTCTCTTCTGTGCCAACTGACGTCAATTGCAAATGCCAAGTGAAGCCATTCCAATGCAGAGGAGGCTTTCCTCTTCCTCTGTTACCAGCATCGCGACCCGCGTTGAACACTTTCAGAGCTGGAGCGTTTCTGCCCATTCAAACGAGATGACCTAGCCTAACTCAATAAATTTATAGATAGTAAGGGGCACAAACATATCGATACAATTGTCTATAATGATACCGTAAAATAGCCTATAACGATATCGATAAATTTGGCGATGACAATTTCGATAAAAATATCGATAGCTCAGATGAACACGAGTACAATTTCACGCAGTACCAGCGTAGAAGAAATTAGGAAATTCAATAATTTTTTTATTCTGGAGCAAAATTCATATTAAAATAACTATCCCAGGTTAGGTAAGGTGAGTCGTGAGGGCTTCGAGAGGTGTAAAGGTGATGTTTATATCGAAAGCCGGCTGTAGCTCTCACTTGTCTCACAAGGTTTTCAGGTCATTCGGTTTCTTTTCATTTTTGCTCTAAACCCTGAAGAGGTTGAGGCTTCAAAAGTAGTTTCCTTTCCGAATGCTACAGCGGGTATAATGGGCCGCCTCATTTGATTATGAGCCCTCCCACTCTATCGCTGCCTAATTGATACCGGATCTGTAAATCGTTTCTGTAACAATTCTCTACCAAGACGAATTGAGATATGAATTCGCCGCCCTGGTCTCTACTGCTAATGAGTAGTAGAGAATGACGTATGTATATTCTCTACCAGTAGAGATATAACCGGTAGAGAAGAGTTACTGAAACGAGCTAATGGTCACTCCAATATTCTTGGAGGCTTCGTTTTCATCAAAGATAACACGGATCCTGGCTAGATTGTCACCGATTAGCTCTTTCTCCACATACATCACCTCTTGGGATGAGTAAACGGGAGGCAGTGGTTGAAAGGTGGCACCGGTGAACTTTTACGCGGATGGGTCGAATATTGATGGAAGGGTGCGTCGCCGAGTGTTTTGTATTGCGTGGTCCAGGTACAGGTAGCAGCCATTAAGAAAGCCGTCGATTTATGTATACTTAAACTGCCCAGATTTTACAAGACTAGCGCGACACTATTGGAACCAGGTCGATGAAGCTTTCCGGGACCGATATCAGCTGCCTGCGAAGCTTACTTCTTTTTTGTCGCTCGGCGGTAAGACGATCTTCTTACAAAGCGCACAGAGCATATTTCGCTTTGCCTCATTTCCCTAAAAAAATTGGTTCTCTGGACGAGTTCCATCGGGCTGAGACTTAAGATCAGCAAGGCCTTCGAAAATGTAACTGTCCAGGATTTGAGACCTACAACTGACAAGTGCCGGTAGTGAGTTCTTTATACTGTTTGAGCAAATAATGCTGAGGCTGACAACTCTTATTCCCTGTACAATTTAATGTTTTTCACATAAAGTTTGTTTTGGCAAGTATTGAATTTTATTCTCTTCTGCATCGAAAAGTTAATTATCATATTATTCTTAACACGATTGGTTTCTAACAATTAAAAAATATTAAATATTATTCCAAGTAAAACATTTTTTTTTTTAATTTCGAGAACTAGTTATAACCCAAATGCATTTATGTAACTATCTAGCAAATTATTCTCAATAAATAGTATTATTTGATTAGCTACACAAACGCATTATGTACTAAAATATATATTTTACAATTTTCTTATGAATTACATGCTTGAATAAAGCATTGCTCTAAAAGATAGCTAGATATGTATGAGGTGATTTGTAATGAATGACGATTTCGTATTACATTGCTCCGTAAAAAATTATGAATTAAATACTTAACACACTTTTCATGCAACACTGAAAGCCAATTAGCAATGAGATTGAATGATTTTTTTTTTTAAATAAAAATCTGAATAAATTCTACGCATGTGCTAATTACGATTACTTGATAATCTGTAGATGATTGTTAAGAAAAACACATTGTTAACACGCTGAGTGCCAAGTGTGTAAAAAGGAATACAAACGTAGAGCGCTTAGACAGTGGACTTTGCCTATTAATGTAGGTTTAAATAGAAAAAAAATCAATGTGAATGTTGAAACAAATGAAAAAAAGAATAAAATAATAATTCTTAGATACATATAATTACACAGTTTTAAATAGTTCAGTATACTATAAGTATAAGTTCTTAGTATATGTAGTACAAAATCTAGACGTGTGTAGGGCGGTGGTCTTTAGTATAGACTTCATGAAGCTTGCAAGTACTAAGTAATTGATTCGAAAGTTTTCTTTTGATCGCATTAGCTTATAAATATCTTGAGACACCGAGATAAGCGATTTTTCAGAGGCAGACTGAAGCGCGTCCTAGATTTTGCTTAAATAAACTGGAATACAACTCAAGGCATCCTTCGGAGTTCTCTCTTCTGCTCCGATTACATCTGTCAGATTTTCTCGGAATTTCCTGTAAATGCATAACTAAACCCCATTTAAAAAAATCATAAACCATAAGAGGATAGCTGAATACTATGTAGATCCACGAAGAAATACTACAAATTAAAATAATAAATAAAATAAATAAATAAATTATTTAAACTTTTTATACTTCTTCCAAGAGGAAATCTATAGGTTCTTTCACCTTCATATTGAAATTGGTTGATATTTTTTTATTACAGGATAAATTCACAAAATAAAAGGGCTAGTAAGTTTTGCCAAATGGAGTATTTCGTGACTACAGTCGCTCGGGCTGATTTCATGCCGGTTTAGGTTTTCTGGCAATCACGGCAGTAAGCTGGGAGCTCCTCAAATATTGAAAAACGGGCTTGATGGTGAAGCTTTTATCAACTGTGGTATTACTCGAATATGTAGTGAGCCTAGATTATTCGTGATAAACGGGACCGGAAAGATTTTGTTTGATCAATTTTCTGAGTTGATCGATTTATAGATAATCGAGAAAGACTTTTAACAAGGCAACTATAGCAAAAAGGCAATAAAAAGTTTCGTAAACCTTTTTTTTTGATTTTATGTATCAGGTTACAAAAATACAATAGGGGTATTCTCGAAGTGTTGCATAGCCCTTGCACGGTGCACGAATTGCATGGTAAAAACCGGTTTTCCTATGGCACAGCTTTGCAAACCGTGCAATCCGTGCACCGTGCAAGGGCTTTGCAAGACTTCGCGAATACACCTAATATCTGTAGGCTTCCGATAGCTCGACCTGGCATATTTAAATGATAACGAAACCATGTTGTTTATATTAATGCGTCTCTGTTTAGAAAAATCGCTTCAACGTTCAACTGGTTAACCACAACCCGTCAAGTACTCGAAAAAAAAAACTTTTTTCATAAGACTTGTTTATTATTTTTCTATGTAATTAATTAATTAAAGCAACAATTGTTTCATAGGAATAATTTTAAAATAATATTTGAAAGCTCTTCAAGCTAATAAAGCAAAACTTGCTCTACTTTATATCAACTTACGGCCATCTGTGCATAAATATGGACATTAAACCAATAGTAGTTATAACATATAATTAAAATAATTTTACTAATCATACTAATTAGAAAAAAAAAATCAGCTGCTAAGTGCAATTCTGTAAACAGTCTGCAAGTGGGAAAATACCTTCTTTGGTATCACAGAAGGTGCAACGCGTTGCTAAATAGATCACTATACTTACAAACATACAGATATGTTTTGTGATATGAATATAAATTAATTTTAATTGACAACACTTAGGAATTAAAACCTATGTAGATGTGTGCATGCATATTCATATACCTACATACATACATATATACCCTATATGTAAAAAAATCAATATATCTACTAATCCAGTAGCACTAATTGCGAATACGTCGTAATTAATGATGCAAGATAAGTGCATAAGTACGAGTTAGTATGTATGTATGTTTGTCGATTATGCAGAGTCGCGAGTTGCATACCTACCATTTCTAGGGCTGTCACTTTTGCCTAGCTACTATTCGTAATATACATTCATATGTATGTAGTATAAATGTTCTTATCGATGCATTTATGTATTTGCTTTATTGTAGGTCGGCGCTTAAAATGTCCGTTTGCATATATGTACTTATGCAGATATGCGAGTATATTTATCTTGTCTCATTATTAAACATTGCGTGTGGCAGACAATTTAAATTAGTGCTCCCTCCACACATTCTTGCTACTTGCTAAAAAAACCCGCGCATATCATTTGGATTTCTTAACATTGTTTCAAGGTTAATATAGTGACAGATAATCAATTTATGTACCTACATACATACATACATATGTATATGTGACAAAGCCAACGTAATAATGTTAGCGGATGTTGCACATGCGAACAAACCAAGTGGGTGAGCAAAACAAAAGGGGCAAAAAATTACAAAATAAAAATAAAAAATTATTCAAGGCAACGTCCTTATACCGAATTTCCACTGGGTATTTAAATGCAAAAAAGTATACCATTAAAAAAATGCCTTATGGAAACAAACTCAATCACTAGTTTTATGAACGCAATGCCACGGGTATATCCAGTATTGTCATTAAAATATCTATAATTTAATGCCTAGTGGAAATTCAGCTTTACATATGTATATGATTCTCTACTAGTAATGCCAGATTTTCACTGGGCATTAAATGGCGAACATTTTACTGACAAAGTTGCACATTAAAAAATACCTGCATAATTTATTTTATAAAAATTGTCATTCAGCTCGTTTCTGCATTGCATTTTTAACTGGCACAATTTTTAGGTAATTTCAATGCCTAGTGGAAATCATTCATATCTATCTAAAAGCTCAGTTATGCAAGACTTAGACGTGACTTGAAAATTGTATGTCTGACCAACTTCACTTAGAAACTTGGAGAACTATAGATTTTTGATTTCCAAGTTAAATTTCTAAGTGCAAAGAGAGCAGTGGGAGCGGTGCCATTTTATTTTTTTTATAAAATCCCTACAAATATGCCAGTCAAATATAATTTTTTATATAAATGTAATTCATCTGGCAATCGAAAGACAAACTTTCAAATAAAGACAGAAAATTACAATCACAATTTGAAACGCGTAAATACATTTAGTTTAATAGTAATTTTGGCGTAAAAACAAATTAAACGTTTACAATTTTACGTGTACATATACAAGTGCTGAGAATCAAAACAAAGAGAAAAGGTAATAGGTGACACGCTGAGTAATCGCGTCTAAGTTTCTAGGTAAGTCAAGTCAAGTCTAACTCTGGCATAACCCAGGTTTAAATGAAATTATTTAATAATTCAGTAAAAATCTAAAGTGTTCATCAGCCTTAAAATATCGCCGCTGTTCAACACTTTTAGAGGTGTTAATCAAACAACACATCTTGCTGGCAATTCGTATGCGTGTACATAGTATGTAGGTAGATCTCCGTCATTGTGACTTTAGCTTAACAAAGTAATTAGTAGCATCTTTATTTGGCAGCTTTTTGAAGTGAAAGTTACTATTAGCCGCCCTAGTATATTGAGCGTAGCGAAAATTTTTTTTAGTCCATTTCTGGCGACAAATAAATTGTAAAAAAAATCAAGAAAAAGTTTTCGGAAGCAATTTTCTCTTACATACAATTGATTGACTGCACTTTTTAAATCGATGTACCGAGTTTTCAAAAATTTGTTGAATAGTAGAGAAATCTGGTCAGAATCTGAAGTACACTTTGATAAAAAAAAAAATTAGAGGGAAACTTCCAAGGTAAAATTTACAGAAACAAATAAAATTGGTTTTTTTTCGCGCATTAATAAAAATGATGTGTGATAAGCGCGCATTTTTAAAGTTCTTAGAACACCTACAGTTCTTTGTGGTTCCTAGGCAATATTGAGTGAATTAGGGCTCTAATACCTGACATGATCATAGGTAAAAATTATGAGTTGAAACTGTGAATATCTAGGCATCGTGTACCGGGGTATAATCATTATCTTCAATAGAGACCACAGATCTGGGTACAGAAATGACTTCGACAATGGTCGGTAGTTCGATTTAGCCAAAATGGGACCTCAGAAAACTCCTTCGTCAAGTTTTTTTATTTTTTAACTATTCTGGTTTTAACCACCCCAATTAGCTAACGATGTACATAAATAACTTTCTATTTGACTCTGAACTTAACACCAACTAGTACTGTGTTGCATCAAGGTAATATGTACTTCGAGCTTTGTACTGTACATACTTACATATGTATATATGTAGGTAGCATATCTAAATATATATCTAGTAGTATTAAGCTATAATTCTACATTATTTAAATAATTTGGCGAAAGAGAAATCAATCAAAGCAATCGACGGCACATTCGAACATAAAAAAGTACGTACGTACATTAGACCAGATCGTTCTCAATATGAAAAAAAAGTTTGTATCGAGTTCAAGGGCTTACTTTGGGAGGATTTTGCTGTCATAAAGAATTTTTTCTTCATACATTTGTGTTTATGTTCGCTTAATAGGTATTTTTGAATACAATAGAGCTCTTAAGCATCAAGGAAAATTTCCTAACATACTATAATATTTAATTTTATGATTAGTAAATTTAAATTTAGCCAGGCAGAAAAATTTACACAACAATATAAAATCGGGCTCCGAGTGAAAGAGTACAGTGCTTCCCAACTAAGTTTTCAAACTAGGAGAGCGTCTGGTATTACAAAGCTTTGCTTGCGATTCAATCTAATGCATCGTATATATACATATGTTTGTATGTACTGCATAAAGTTTAACGTATTAAGTAATTACCGTTAAGTACCTGGCAGTCAATTCTAGTTCATATTTTGCTTTAAGCACCGCCAAGTTAGTCAAGCGTTGCAGCATGTCTTCTGTTAGATAATTATTCAAGTGCTCGATATGTAGTCGTACATGTGTGCATATGTATGTATGTATGTAAGTAATTAAATCGGTAAATCAGACAATGACACAGAAAAAAGAATGGGTGAAATTAAAATTAGTAACATAAAAACAAATTTAGTAATATTTCCATGTGATTAATACATAATGTTCTCACATGTACATTAGACCGTACCACTTTACAAGCAAACAAACCTGAATTTAAAGTATTTTTCCAATTCGATTTTATTTTTATTTATTTTTTCTTGCCGAACCTAGGGGGTCGCCTTTTTACATTTTCCTAGGGGTCACCTTTTTACATATTAGGGTAGTACGTTGGGATGAAATGAACTGAGAGATGGTGGGTAAATACTAGAATGTGGTACTTGAGATCGATTAATTTTGGTAGAAACAAAAATGTTCTCGAGACAAGCATATTAAGATATTATACTCTAAGATCCGACTGTAAATGTCGAAAATATGAAGAAAAATGTAAAAAAAGCGGCACCTACAACGTTCGGCCAAAAAAAATGGTTTTTCGAAATTACATTGCAAAAATATTTTAGAGCCAGGGTTGTACTACAAACTTCTTTTTCTGGTGCGATTTAATGTACATACCACTATGTACTACATTCGAACTTTGATATTCCACTAGTACATTTCTGTATTTGATATGTAAATTAGCACGTGCACACTTTACATGTAATGCATTTAATTAATACAAAATCGGCAGCTGAACTAATGCTACGCATATTAATTAATAATTATTTACCAGCGACAAATGCTAATATATTAAGTAAAATAAAAAAAAAAATGCATTAAATCATCGTTTTATGTAGTTTTTATTCAGCCACTTAGTAACACCTCCAGCCGATTTCGCATAGCTAAAGCTAACCATTAAACATTTTTTATTAACAGTGTAAATATTCAAATGAGTATAATGTAGTTTCATGAAATGAGGACATTGAGGTGGTAGCTGAATAAGTGTTTAGCGCTGATCTCTTACGACCGAAACCTTTTTTGGCCGCACCTGCTATATCTCCAATATATTGAGATAAAAGCTAAAGCTAAAGTAGAGCCCAGTAAGAACACGGACGAATTTCGATAAAACTTATGTAAGAAGAATGTATACAGCGTAGTTGTCTTCCGTTAAGTGCTGTATACAGCGTAGTTGTCTTCCGCAAGTGATACTAGAGGTATTCCAGAGTGCCTTTACTAGAAAGCGATCGAACATCAATTTTTCAGGCCGAAGAAAGGTTTTTCATAAGAGTTGGGCTATATTGGGTAGTTGGTGGTAGTGTTTTCTAGTAGCAGTTTTATCTATGCAAATCCTACATTTCTTAGGGAACCATCGAGAATCCCTGGTAAAGTTACCTATTTTGCTTCAAGCAGCTTCTGATAGGCTATCTTCTAGCTAACAGCTACGACAAGTTCTACTATTGGGAATTCCTATCCTTTACGTATGTTAGCCTAAAGGTCTGTGCCTCGTGTTGGTTGCTACTATCCCTGACCTATCAAGAAGATCCGAGGTCGTGATAGTGTTGCTGTGTTTGGACTGGATCTACATAGATACCCAAACATACCCAAAGCAATCCTTTTATTCCTCATGAAAGCTGGACATTTGCACAGGATGTTCTCAGCTGATTCCTATTCGTTTTCATCTTCAAAATAAGCCAATCAGTTAATTTCCAAATGGCAAAGTGAATAGACCTTTTTAGCCTCCAGTTAGCCAGCTGAAGGTACCTTGAGTCATCGAGGTTTGCTCCTATGCTGTAATACAAAATTTATTTGTAGTGTTTTCCCAAAACGATTTTACTTCACTATTCAGTTGTCTACTGTACATAAATATACACTTATTGGGAATAGCCATTATCTGTTTTATGTAAATAATCTTTATTCTGAACTTTTTCGCTGAAGAAAAAGCAGTTAATATTTACCGCCACTGATTGTTCGTCGGCCGCTGTGGTGTAGTGGTAAGCAGTGCGCGCTTCCACTCCGCAACGCCTCGGTTCAAGCCCTGGTCAAAGCAACATCGCAAAAAATGTAGAAAAAGGTTTTTTCTTAACAGCGGTCGTCCCTCGGCAGACAATGGCAAACCTCCGAGTGTATTTCTGCCATGAAAAACAGCTTCTCATAAAAAAAAATACAATCGCCGGTCGGAGTCGGCGTAAAACTGTAGGTCCCCCCGCTTTGTGTGACAACATCAAGGCGCACGCCACAAATCGGAGGAGAAGCTCGGCCAAACACTAACATATGTGTAAGCGCCAAAAAAAAAGTTTTAGCTGATGATACTAAGTTGCAGACACTTGTAATGTAATTAGACGAATTTTCTTGAACTAGAAAATGAGTCGATTGATATTAGAATACACTTTTTGAACCCAGAATCCTATTGCTGGTAGGTACAATGATTCTCATTGAACCTTCTTAAACATTTTTAGAAAGGCACAATAGTTCCAAGTGCAACTTTTGATATTAAACATGTTGATGAGGTTGCCACAAATTCTATTGAAAGTAGGACGGGATCGATTTTCTTTAAACAGTATTTTTCACGGGCACTTGAAGCCCAGTCAAACGTTTATCATTTGTATGTGAGGAACTACATAGGTTAGATTAATAAAGTTTTCTGGTCTAAACAGTCCTAGTCCCCACCACTAGACCACTAATCCTTTTTCCGAGCCAACTACGCAATAGAACTCCAAACCCCATCATATGTATATACATATAGTACTTTACAGGGTATGACATTAGATGATCTCGTTAAGAAACTAATAAGCATTTTCTCGGCGTAAACAGAGTTTGACAAACAAAAATGCCTTCAAAACTGCTTTCCAAACATCCTTCAATTCTCAGTTATCTGCTGGTTTCAATGCATTTGGAAACATATTTTAGGGGGTCCCCCTCACTTTTTTTCTTCACTTCACATCTCGTATCTTTCTACTGTCAATTGACAGATGTCACTTTGACAAACACGTTTTTGAAAACATAAACCGCATGAAACACAAATTCTTGCATTTTAATATTAAAGTTAGTTGCATAATATGTTTTTATTAAAAAAAAGCTGCTAATAGTTATTTCTAACTTCACACATTATCGCAAACCATTAATTTCGTTTTACCGCTGCAGAAAGTCTGTCATACATCTGGCTAAATTCAGACAGCTGCGGTATGCAATTCCGGTGACTGTTGTCATGCACGACATTTGTTTATTATTTGTTAACGAGCGCTGCCCACCTGTTGCCATAAATCAAATACATACATACATACATACATACGTAAGCAGAAATAAGAATGAATGCAGTTTGATTTTTGCCACTTGGGTTTTTATTAAAATAAAAGTGTGCGCGCGCATGCGCATTTCATGAACTTGTTTTATATACATAAATACACCATAACTATAAAACTATTTAAATTAGTATACTTACTTTAAAGCATGCATACATACATTTATACATACCTAAATGTATACACATGCGTTGATGTAACTAAGTACACTTTTTTATGGCTATTAATTGATTCTTGCCTAGAATTTGCCCAACGTTAAGCGGCTAGCTATGTACATATGTACATACATATATACATATGTAGGAGTATAAATAAGAACTTTTATTAAAGTGCATACATTGAGCTGTATAAGTACTACATATGTAGAAATGCAAACATTGAATGAAGCAGGGAGCAACCGGTTAACCTTGATGGCGGCTGCTTAAGTGATTACTTACAAACCTACTTGCATGCTTGCATATGTACATATATAGGTACTTACAAACATACATACATAATACCTACATTAAGCTCAAACGATTACATGTGCGCTATAAACTTAGTTGAAACAGCATTAAATAGCATTTAATTAGTGAAAAATAGGTGATAGAAAATGCAAAATTATTCAAAAAATTGTGTCATTCGAAAAAATTTTTGAAATTCTCGTCGTCGATAAACGTTCCCCGCGCGCAACATGCAATTTGTCATATGTGCTGATGGGAAAGTGTATTTTTATGGTACTCGTATACGACTAAGTATGTATTGTGATAATTTGCTTTGAAAAATTCTACACACATCCATATGCCTAATTGGTCGTGAACACGCGAGCAAGCTCTTAATATGTTGCTAAACGTAGACTTAAATGCTATTGATTACAATTGCAATTTGATTTTTTTGTGTGTGCATCTTTGTTCTAATTTATATATTGCCGTTTTACGAAAGTGAGTGTTGTTAGTGAGCCCTTGAGACGCTTCTCATTTATTTCTAAGAGATTTATTGATTATTGTTGTTCTTTTTTTTTTTTTAAATTAGAAAAAATTAAGCAACTCCAGAGGAATTAAAAATTTAATCAACAGCTGAATTCACTCGATCTGAAACAATATTTCTTTTCAAGATACCAAGAGAAGTCTGGCCCGACTATAATAGAATGAAAACCCTGACTCTGCTCAATAGATCAAGGACGGAAATATTAAGAATTTTGGCAACCATCATGACTCATGAGGCAGGAGTTCGCCAGAAAACATTCGAACTTTTCTGCATTAGAAATTCTTGCAGCTATCATATAGAAGATACAGAAGCAAGTGGGCAGTTGTTCCTGTGTGAATGCCAAGGCCTTCCAAATATTAGGTATACAACTTTCGGAAGACACATAGTATCATTAAAAAGCAGCCTATCAGGAGAAAGGTCCAAATCGAAGTAGGTAAATTCAGCAAAAAATCTATAGATGGTTCGACCAAGAATTATAGACAAAACAGTTCCCATGAAAAGTGCGCTAAATGTAGATACTAATTAGCCGTCATCGATTCGCCAACAGTTAGCGAATGGCGAAACGAACGAACTCAATGAGGTACAACCAAACTCGCTATCGTCTATCCGTGCTAGCTAACTTTGTTGTTGCTTTCACATGCAAAATTCTTCTTTAAGCGACCGGAACTCAAACATAGCGAGCGAGAAGTGGCGAATCGATGACGGCTTTTGTATCACAACCCATCGTAAGGATTTATAGAACATAGTTTTTGGTCCGATGCCAGAATAAACTAGCAACGATACGGAAAATCTTGTATAAACTGTGCTGTAACTAAGTCGCAAGAACAGATAAATTTTTCCGTTTTCTCCAGAGAATTTTTTCTAATAGGGTCGCGAAAGAAAATTACTGATCTGAAATATTGCGTCATGTGAAAAGTCTCTGCTGATTTTTTCACTATGTCGTGTTGATGCATATACATCTGGCAACACTAATACAATTGCATCACGTTTGGGAGGTGATATTTAGGGGTGGGTTTCTCGATTCCGTTGGGGAAATTTTGATGTCAAAGATGCACCTCCTCTGATCGAGCAGTCTCTGGAAAAGTGGATGAAATAGTGAAATTGGTTGAGCGAGACTGGCGTGCAAGCTGTCAGGAGAAATTTGATTGAAAATCAGTGAAACGCTGCGGAAACAACGATCTCAAGGCGAATCATCACCGATGATGAAAAATATAATACGAGAATAAGCTACGCAAGCCATTCATTGTCAAAGACCGACGACCCACCACAAATTCTGGAAAACATTGCCATGTTTAGTTGGATTGGAAGGGAATTGCCCATTATGAACCGCTACAACGTAGCGAGACTATCAATTTGGTCCTCTACTGTGCACAACTCGACCAATTGAAAGAAGAAATTAAGAAATAGCGACCAGAATTGGCCAACATAAAAGGAGTTGTGTTCCATCATGACAAGGCTAGGCCTCACACAGTTGTGATGACTCGGAAAAAAATATTTTCGTCGAAAGTTCAATTTGGAGTGCATTTTTGATGAAAAACCTTGAGTTGGCAGCGCGACTAAAACTTACGAAGTTAGCTAAAAATTGTTAAGCTTCATTTGCCAAGTACTCTCTACTTTTCATTAGTATTCCAGGCAGATATGATTTATTTAAGGTAATAAATTTGTTATGTATTATATGTTTCACTTGTTTTTAACAACGTAATTCATGGTTTGAAGAAATACAATTTATTACTCCATGCGACAAACACAAAAAAAATTTCAAAACACGCGAAAGAATCGATAAACTCAAGAAACTATGGGCCATATGTATATAGTAAAACTGCGTCTTTAATTTTTCACTCTGACGCCAGGATTTTTTTGTTTTTCAAAGGACTTTGAAATTTTAAAGATATGATTAATTCAAAAATTATTTTAAAAAATCAGTGTAATGTAGAATAATAATATGGTTAACAATTGAGAGAGAAAATTCTTTAGAATTTAAAAACAATAAACTTTTTTGGTTTACAAGTACGAATAGTTATTGAAAGTGCGCTTTTAATGTATTTTATCTTTTTAGGTTAATAAAGTTTGCAGGGCAAATTTCGATGATGCGTACATGAGTCCTCAAACAATATTTAAAAAAAAAATTTGCAAATTTTCAAGGATATTTACGAAAAAAATCTGTAATGGACATTTTCCATACCCATTCGTCCTTATACACCAAAAAATTTATTCTGTTATAATTCCACCGGATTTTTTTATTTTATATGCTACCCTTATTGTTATCCTACATTGCACCGAATTTTTTAAATAATTTTTTTTTAAATAATCATATCTCTTAAACTTTGAAGTCCTTTTACAAAAAATCCTGATGTCAAAGGGAAAAACTATGTAAGCAGTTTTACTATAATTTACCCGTAATTCCGAAAATATATTCATTTTTTTGTGTTTAAAATTTACTGTCGCGCGGTGTTATCTGCAAGTCGGCTAAAATCATCGTTCAAGAAATTATGTAAGAAGCATATAAATAAGCAAACTAAAGTTAAAAATGCGCACGAAAAGAAGTTCTCTGCGCTTTCAGACTTCCTGTGCTTCCGGCAGGTGCTTGCTGGGGAATCGCAGCTGAGCACGAGTAAAGTTAAAAATACCAAATCACAGTCAAGCATTTTTCCATGCATTAAATTTACGAAATTATCTACTAAAGTTATTCACTTTATTATCCACTTCTTTACGCGGCTGCAGGCTTGCAGGTTACACTGCACTGCAGCAAATGCATTACGCATGCGCCTTTTCAGGTTGTGCCTTAAAATTCTAAACAAAAAATTGTGTTAACTCAGCTGCATAATTAAAAAAAAAATCATTTAACAGGAAATTGCATTTTAAGTGCGTGTAAAGCCCCAAGATTGTGCTGATTTTAAAATAACGTGGAGGGAAAAAATATTTGTTTTTAATACACTTGACCGCAACGACACTGCTTACCACAATAACCAGTTTGACGGCTAATTTATGCACTACTCGCGCCCAAGGGTACACAGGAGTGCATTTCTTTCCGTGAGCTTCTTGGTTTTTTTTTTTTTAAATAACCCTTCTCTCACCCTCACTGTTACAAAAAAAATTATTACAAATTATTTTAGTGTTTTATCGTTAGTGAGTGTAGTGTGGTAAATTTAGCACAGCTTTCATGCGCAATCAACAATTTATGGCATAATTTACGTATAATACGACACAATTGCGTAAAATCAAATAAACAAATTAATGCAATTAACGGGCTGAGTAACTTAATTATGTTGTTAAGAATCTTATGTGGCTACTTTACGGGGCGCATTTACAGCTAATTTAACGTGGCAGGTGAGAAGTGAATTTCAATAGCCTTTTTTTGTAATAGGTGGCGGTATATGTATGCGCAAGTTGTTATGTGTGTTTGTATGTACATGTTTACATAACTACACACCTATTTGCAGAGGCGGATGTGAATATTTGTTACCCCTAGGCAATTCAGAATTTGCCGCCCTATTCAAATTTATGTTATTTACTATACTTTTATTACAATTTAAGATGAACTTTTAAAGAAAGCCATCATCAACAAACTTTTTTCACTTGATAAGTTATACTATATTAGTATTTTTAAATATTATCATTTAAATAATATCAAAAATACCTAACAGTGTCGTCCTATTTTCTGATAGCATAATTTGTTTTCAGTGCAGCTAATTTGAAAAAAAAAATGTAACCCAAATTTTGCCGCCCCTAAATTTTGCCGCCTTAGGCACCTGCCTATGTATGTTGCCTTTACGGTAAATCCGCCACTGCCTATTTACATGGAACTAAGTGTAGGTATGCAAACAAGTGAATGTTGACAACGCTGAGTGAAAGGCCGTTGTGATTCATTTGAGGGAAGTTAATTAGTGAATTCGAATTAAAAAATAAAAATGAAAATGAGGCGATTTCAATAACAGACTATTGAAATGAATAACAATTTTTATAATTTATTTTTCTAGTAGAATCATAAATTAGCTACAAATATTTTTCCGTGTCGAATTTTCACAATTTTATGTATGTAAATGCAACCCGATATTACTTTCACTTAAACAAGTTCAAAAATTAACATAATCACTCTCGATTCGCGTGAAATTCTTTTTAATTTACCTACCACCACACTTTTGCGGTTTACCTCCAACACCAGCATTTGTGTTTACAACTAGTAACCAGTTTGTCATTGACTTTGTCTACGAATTCCAAATTGCAACTGCAACTGAACCGGTTTTTCTCTTGCATTGCCTTGAAAACGTAGCAGGCGCATGGCCAAATGAGTCACCGCAGATTTACTACGGATTAAATGCGCGCAAATAAGCTCTTAAAAAACTTTACAAGAAAAGCCATCCATCGAAGGCATCACGACATTTTCTAGGGTATTCCCTTGCGCGAGCGAGAGCAAAAGTGGTTTAACAGGCGCGCCTTTGTTAAACTGATGGTTTGGGTTATGCGATGCGCATGCGAATGATTAAGATAAACAAGTAATTTTTAGCAAAAAAAAAACCGACTTCAACTCTCATATAAAAAATATATATATATATATATATCTCATGATCCACTGATCGGATCTTAACCAGATTAGTATGGGACCACCTCTGAGACACTACCTTTCCGATGCAAAAAGAATTATCGAAATCGGTTGACGTGGTCCAAAGTTATGCGGTAAAATACATAAAAAAACAAAAAAAACAAAAAAAGATTCCGACGAACTGATAACCTCCTCCTTTTTTGGAAGTCGGTTAAAAAAGTGTCGCTGAAGAACTGCAGCTAGTTTCGACAGGCCATACAGATTTAAAGTGAAGTGAAGGGCCCCCAATTTAAAGTGATATTGTTTGCCACTCATGTTTATTTATTTTTTTAGGAATTTTCAGTTAAAATGCAGTTCGTTTTCTAATTTTTTCACGAAAGCAATTTAAGTAAAAATTATTTTTACATTTCATACTGACAGAAAAAAAAAAAAAAATTTTCACTTAAATTTCTTTCGTGAAACCGGGCGTAACAAAACTCATATAAGGCCGAGTTTAAAACTTTGTAGACAACTACAAAAAAAGCAGTGTTTGAAGTATAGACCCCTTACTTAAGGCTGGATGATTGCTTTATATTCTGCATAGATTTAACATTTTAATACATTTTTAGTTTTTAATTATTTTGTTCAAAGAAAAATTGCTTCTCGTCAGTGTTGCCAGAAAAAAATTTCGTTTGGAGCTAAATCGGTCGATAAAAAGAGCTAAATAACACTAATAGTAGCTAAAATGAAGGACTAGGTTTTTTTAAGTAGAGCATTTATTGACGCGTTCGATGCCGATATTTTAGCGCACTTAAGCAAATACTTCAGCTAAGCGGTAAATTAAAAAACTGTATACGTATACAAATAAGTTGATAAATCTGTATGCATGTATTAAAATAGTTGCTTATTTAAAACTGTGTATTTTTTTTGGAAACTTGAATCATTACAAGATTTCGAAAATGGGAAAAACTGTCAAATTAAATTGTTTATATGTTTGTACATAGCCCTTGTATTTGAAGCCGTCAATCGGAACTCTTTTTCATTATCATAATTTTCATTATTTTATTTTACTTATTTATTTTTTTTGCAACAAAAATGGGCTTGGTGCTATTGCAGTACCAATGCCACAGTGTCAGTCGTCTGCTGCTGCTACTACTGCTGTCAACATGAGTGGCACTTCGGTTAATCCGTTGCGACAGCAACGCTGCGATTAGTCAATGCATTGTTTTGATAACATATTTATCGAGGTAGAAACCACAATTGTACATACTGGAAAAACTACTGTCTAATGTAGACAATAGCAATTAGACGTAAATATCAATTAGAAAATTATTGAACTGTTGAACCCTTAAGTTCTGAACCCATTGAAAACGGCGAGCTACAGACAACTGCTTCCAATTTGTTATCTTTATTATCTAAACGATTTGTCGATGGCGCCATGATTTCTTTGAACGCGACAGCGACATCATGAATTTGTATGAGTTTGGCATAAAAGAAGAGGAAGAACCGTATCTGTCGCTGGAAAAATATAAATACATAGATCTAATCTGGCCACAACCACAGTCGTCGCCATAATAATTATCTACATAAGAATACATGAAAAATTAATTTGACAGCTTTTACATTTTATTTTATATCCAATTTTATGCTTTTCACTGAAACGCACACCCGAATTTGAATAATAAATTAATTTCACCCATTAGCTTTCTTTAGCCTCAAATTTAAAAACAATGGCTTGCTGATAAGAAACTTAATCCGAATTAGGACTGCGCCTTTAGAAATGTATATCAAAAATTGTTTGGAAAATATGCATTTAATACCCGCGCGACAATAGCAACAACGGCGTTGAATTATAATCATAATTAATGTGACCAACCGTACTTCTTTCGAAAGTACAGTACTTCTTTTTTCCGTCTTGTACTTCGTACTTCGAAGTACAGTCAAATGTACTTCTTTGCGATATTTTGTACCTCAGGAGGGAGATTCTGTAACCAGTTATCGACAATTTTCCAATTGGTTGGATCCTATTTATACGAACTGCGTGAGGACCGGGTACATCCCCAAGGCTTGGAGGGTAGTTAGTTTTGCGTTCATCCCGAAGGCCGGAAAAGGTTCTCATGTTTCCCCTAGGGATTTTCCGCGGATATTGCAGACAGAATTGTCGCAGCACGAGCTGCTTTAGGCTAAAGGAAACCGGGTCCATTTGTGACATAAAAAGGAAAGAAAGACGTTTCTCTGCTGCAGCATAAGTTTTTATAGGGCATTTTATAACACGTTACCACTCAAGGGCTAGTGATGGGCGTTCTGACAGGCCATTGTGCGATTGGTATTTATGCAGTGAGACTAAAAAGTTTCGACTGATCCTTTTGTACCAGCTGTCAAGAGGAAGATGAAGTGGAATTATCTCAACACTTTCTTTTAGACAGTCCAACCTTTGCGAGGCTAAGATGGAAGCAGTTTGGCTCGCACTTCTGAACAAATACTGAGCTCTAAGGCATCGCAATTAGCCGCATTAGAAATTTCGTAATCGGCTCGCGACGTTAACTTAACCCAACCTAAC